CTCTCTCTCTCTCTCTCTCTCTCTCTCTCTCTCTCTCTCTCTCTCTCTCGTGGTTGAGGCAAATCATCCTACTTAGGACATCTAAAGCCATAATTCTCTGAATTAATTTTTAGAAAAAATAGTATTCCTTAGTAACATTTTTAATATTCACAAACAAACTGAACACGTGTTTCAGAACGTAAAGCCAAAATGTTCGGCTTGCAATGTAAGCAGATAAAGTTTCAGAACACGACTTTATGCTCGGAACTGTGAAACCTTAACTCCTTCTGTTCTCACCTTCCGAGGCTTGCAGAGGGGCCTGTAGAGAGCACAAGTGCAGTTTCTCCTGTAGCCTTCCTTACCTGTCTGTCTGTCCTTCCTTTCCAGATGCTGATTTTAAAATTCATATCTATAATGCAGTAGCTCTCTCACCCCGCCTAATGCTGAGACACTGTCACACAGTTTCTTCAGTTGTGGTGACCCCAACCATAACATTATTTCATTGCTACTTCAGAACTGTAACTTTGCTACTGTTATCAACAGTGACGTAAGTATCTGATTACAGGATAACTGATCTGTGACCCCCGAAAGGCCTCTGCCACAGTTTGAGAACCAATGCTCTAAGCCATCTCCTTTCACATAGCCTTGGTGTGTGCTCTGGTCAATCGGCAGACTCAGGGTAGCCAGGGCAACCTTCTCCTCTGCCACGTTCACTTCCTGCCAGCTAACTCCAGAGTGAAGAACTCTGCCCCTGTCTTCTGACCACTGTTTCTATTATTACATTTAGGAAATGTCGACAGGGCCAACATGGCTTTGTACTCACTTAAAATATCTGACTCCAAAAAACAAAAACAAAACAAAACAAAACAAAAATGTGGTCTTGAATGACCACAATGGCAGGAACTGAGGTGGGCAAATGGTCACCCAGGAAGGATGGGCAGCAGCGGATGCAGGAAGATGGAGTCAGAGGCAAACCAGTGCTGCTCAGAGTTACACTTACTCCCTTGGCTTAGAGAATGGGAAGAAGCTGGGTTTCTACTTTATTCTTCAACTCCTTATACAGTATTTTAAATAAACAAACTTACTAGTAGGAATTTTTTTTTCTGTTCTTAAGAAAACATTTACAAAGCTGAAAGGAAATCAAAACAGTAATCTTGAAATGAAGACAGAACAGTTTGAAGGGCTAGGTGAGTGAGGGATTCAGGGTCAGAGGACAGCTTCCTGCTGGGCCCCAGCACAGGGCCACTTGGACAGCTTACGGCAAGAGCACTGGGGACAGTCAGAATAGCCACTGTCTTTCAGAGACCATCTTTTCAAATTAATGGGTTTGAGAAACCAATCAACATGTTTGGAAATGAAAGCTGATTTATGTACAGCCCTGCTTCTAGTCAAACCTTAATCGAGAAGTTAGAATTCAGTTAGCAAATATTTAAATTAATTAAGAGTCCATTAGGTGGAGTTTAGGAAAAATCAAAATATAAAGACTACATCCCAATGCTAGCAGGCCACAATTTTTATACCTATTAGTTCTATCACAATTTTTATACCTATTAGTTGTATCTGTATTAGCATTAGTTTTAAGAGGTGCGCATCTCTAAAAGCTTTCATGATTAAATTAATTTTAAAAATTCCTTTTGGAGAAGGTCTCACCCTCCAGCCCAGGACATCATCAAGCTTGCAGCAATCCACCCAATTCCAATTCCTGAGTGCTGGATTTCCAGGCTTAGGTGACACTCCTCAAGGTGACATTTCCCACTGCACTTTATTTACAAGTGTCTTCCTCAAGTTTTCACTGGTGATGTCACGAGTAAATAAACAAATGGCATTTATTTCTGAGATGACATCCTTTTAGTCTGAAAGAGACCTCTTTTAACCTATGATGCCGAGTTTATGATTCGAATAGATTCCTTAAAACCACCATGTCACATTTACCACTATCGGACAGCATTGACTTACCGGAGCTGCAGGGAAGGTTTCGGAGAGTTCAAAAGGCTCCTCAGAAATCCAGTGACCCAACTCTAAAGACAACAGTACCTAAGAGAGACATACCACACAGAGAACATCAGTCATGGTTTGATTAGATTGTTGGGTAGCAGGTCAAAGTCACTTTGAATAGAACAAAAGCAATGCCCCTAAAAGCCGAGCAGCAATGGACCTCCTAGGGCCTGAAATCAGCCTTGCAAAAGCCAGGGCACTTTGGGAAGCTTCATGATGCCTGTTGCAGTCATTAGCAAACAAACACATCCTAAGAAAAACACCTCAATGTAGCTAAAAATGCAGGCCAGTACCCAGCTTGGTGGTTTCTCCCACCAGTACCCAACACCCGATACTCAACACCCGATACCAAAAGGAAGCAATGTAAGAAGCAGAGCGGCTACTGAAGTTCCCCGTTCAAGGGCATAGGCCCTCATGGCTGGGAAACCAAGGCGGCAGCTTGAAACTTGTAGGTGATTTCACATCCTGTGCAGTTGACAGTACTAACACAGCATCCTAATGAAATCAAACACTGGTGGTGCATGCCTTTAATCCCAGCACTTGGGAGGCAGAGGCAGGCGGATTTCTGAATTTGAGAGTTCGAGGCTAGCCTGGAGCCTGGTCTACAGAGTGAGTTCCAGGACAGCCAGGGCTACACAGAGAAACCCTGTCTCAAAAAACCAAAAAAAAAATTAAAAAAAAAAAGAAAAAAGAAAGAAAGAAAGAAAGAAATCAAACACTTAAACAGTATCCTGCTTTTATGTGATATGCTGTGTGCTAGAAATCTAAATTTTATATTGCCCTTTAGAATCTTCCTTGAACATCCCAGGATTTTATGAGTTAAAAAGAAAGAAATGGAGTGAGGGCTGGGGAGATGACTCAGTTGGTAAAGTGAAAGCCGAGTAAGCAGAGAGAGCTCTCTAGAGCCTGTGTGAAAAGGGGGTGAGGTGCATCTGTGGTCCTGGTGCTGAGCTGGTAGAGATGGTGGCAGGTAGGACTGTGGAGGATGGCCCAACACAGAATAAACGAGAGAAAGGGAGAGGGAGAGGGGGAGGGGGAGGGGAGGGGGAGGGGGAGAGGGAGAGGGAGAGGGAGGGAGGAGAGGGAGAGAGAGAAGCAAGCACAGGACCTGAGAGTCAGAAGTCATGTCTACAAGATAGAAGCAGCAGCTCTGAGGGGTGTTGAGCTCAAGACAGCCCATGAGAGTAGAGAACATGGGAAGTCATGTCTCCATTAGGACTGGAAAACAGCAAGCTTTGCTCCCAGGAACCCTCGCTCAAAGAAATACCACAGTTTCAATTAGATCCCTGTGGTCACAGATGCTTTGTCATCTGTCTTTTTCTGTTTTCTCCTAACTTTTATTGCCCAAATGCCATAGGAGGGAGGAAGATAAGGGGAAGGAGCGGGGAGAGGAAGGAGAAAGATCTTAAGTTCAATTACTGTGTGGGTTAAAGCCATTCACATTACACAGTGTTCCTTCCCCTTACTGCTATCGGCCTCCCTGTGCTATCTATCCTTTAGAGATAACACTATGGATATGTGGGTCTCCATGACCTTGTATCATCAGACCAGGAGATAAAATGTGGTTTCAACATCAGGCTCATGTCAGCATGCAGCAATGGTAGAATCCTGTGGTGGGAAATTCGGTACAGCAGCTAGAGGCCGGGAGTCAGCCATAGAAATGTGTGTGGTGGGAAATTGGTACAGCAGTTAGAGGCCAGGACTCAGCCATAGAAATGTGTGTGGTGGGAAATTGTTACAGCGGCCAGAGGCCAGGAGTCAGCCATAGAACTGTGTGTGGTGGGAAATCGGTACAGCAGCTAGAGGCCGGGACACAGCCATAGAAATGTGTGTGGTGGGAAATCGGTACAGCAGCCAGAGGCCAGGACTCAGCCATAGAACTGTATGTGACACACAAGTTCAAATTCACCTCTCATTAAAATGTCAACTGAACCTAAACAAGCTCGTGGGGAACATTCATGTTCTCTGACTTTGCTGCTTTCTAAATGTTAAGAAAATAAAACTGTAAGGCACTTATAGTACGATTTTGCTAAGCAAATGGATAAATTTAATTTCTTTAAGACTAAATGTTGCATAGAGGTAGCAGAAAACACAGATTTGATTTCACTAAAATCACAAACTCAGAAATACAGAAAAACAACTTTGTACTCTAGCCTGAGAGATCAAATCTTTTGGGTTCAGACTCTATGTTAGAGAACCTGACCTAAGGCTGAACTCAAGCTAACTAATAGGCCAGTTCCTAGCACCAGTTTCCAGGTTACCCCCCAACAAGACCTACATCTAGCACCAGCTGCCAGGTTATTCCCCAACAAATCTACACCTCTAGGTTACAAGCCTGCCCCGACACTTCACTAACAACCACCAATCAGGAGGAAAGCAGAAGTTAAGTTTATAGTTTGGCTCTCAACAGCAGCCAATTATGTTAAAGGCCATAATGGCCCCCAAGTCATGTGTGTACCAGGCTAGATACCTTCTTCTTGCCTCTAGAAATGTTTACGTGAGACTGGGCTCTCAGCCCTTTCCCGTTCTCTTGGGTCAGAGAAGGTGGTGCGGCCCAAGCTTGAGCTTGAATAAAGAGACCCTAATGCGACTGTATCGGAATCGGCTCCTTGGTGGTCTTTCGGGGTTTACAAACGTTTCCTGGCACAACAAGTCCTTTCATTAGCCAAACCCATCTTTAGCTTAGTGCAATATTCAAGAATGGAAATCTGTTTTCTAGAATTTCAGGTGGGCTTGTGAAATAATCCTACTCAACCACACACATTTCCCAGAGAACACTGCATAAGACAAAAATATCTGAGAGAATCAGTCCAGCAAGGAGTAGAGTTGTGTGTGGGAATCACATCTTGTGTGTACATGAATCTTTGTGGGGGAAGCTACCCTCAGGACCCACCTCAATGGAAGCCCAACATCCCTCATGGGACACAAACACGGTAAAGATATCAGACAAATCAGATAACAGAAATGGTAGTGCTGACATCTGACCATCATTCATAAAGCCCACACTTTGTTGATGAACCTATGAGAGAAACCATTTTCTTGCTTTATTCTTAAATGTAGTTAGATGATCTCTCTACATACAGGGCTATGTAGTTCACTCTACACCAGGGAACCAAGTCTCTTTCTCTCCCTCTCTCTTTTCAAAAGAATTATTTACACATATACATATACATACATACATACATACATACATACATACATACATACATACCGGTGTTTGTCTACATGTACGTCTGCATACCTGAAGAGGGCACTGAATCCTATGGGACCACAGTTATGGAAGGTTGTGAGCTGCTATGTGGGTGCTAGGAGTCAAACAGTCCTCTGGAAGAGCAGACAGTGCTCTTAACTACTGAGCCATCCCTGCATCCCCTCCAAGTCTCTTCTTGTTGCACACATTTTTATAATTCTCTTGTGCAATGTAAGGCAGTCTGACTACGGTTGGGGATGCTAGAGAGTGGTGTTATTATTAGAAGCAAATGAAGATGGCCATTATGTATCATGAAACTAATGCAGCTGAAATCTGGCTGTTATAGTAAACTAAGCGTACATTTAGTTTCACTGAAGGAGGGAAATGATGCACAGAAGAGACAGCGGAACTAAATGAGGGAAATGCAGAGCAGATGGAAGAATGGTGGCCAACTGGGCAAGACAGAAACTCAAGTGTCTGGAGATGGAAGATGTACTTAAATCCTTCTGCAGATTCCCAAAAGCTGGAGAAAGTGGGGTGAAGGCAGCTTGTCGGGAGAGGGCAAGGCGAGATGAGGGTTAAGCCTTGGCTTTCCTAAGGGCAATGAAGCTTGGAAGAAACCTGTGTACAGGAACAGTGGCCTCAGGTGGGTACTGGTCAGTCTTTCTGGGGCCACTTATTGAGGAAAAAAGCACAGGAATACTGAGATTTGGCCTTTGTCATCTTTTCATCTACAGGGGACCCAGGGCTCCAACGAGGCTGCATTAATCCATTCTTTTTCCTCTGTGTTGGGTATAGCTGTACCCCTGCCCCCACCCCGACTGCAAAGCAGCCACAGTATAGAAAACCAGACAAAACAAACAAAAAGGGAATTGTGGTGTCATGGCACTGGGACACAGGATCAAACATTTGCCCGAGAGCCTGAGTTCTAAGAGAGGCAGAGCAACCAAGGAGGTCACAGTAGCATCTCCAAGACACTGGACGTAAAGGTCCTCTGATGTGCAGACGTATGAGATGAACGGTAGTCTGGATATGTCTATAGAAACCTGGTGAAGGCTGTGAAGGATGGTAACAATTAGAATGTTAGTCATCAATTCAAGAAAATCAAGAAACTTGCAGAAATTCTATGGCTCTTAGTACATTAGACAGTTCAGCAGACATGATGTTCAAATGGTGCTCATATGTATTTGTGTATACTTGGGCGCACACAAGTGTGCACACACCATGATCAGAGGACACCTTGTGGGTTCTGGGGTCTGAGCTCAGGTGGCCAGGCTCACCAGCAAGCACCCTTTCTCACTGAACTGTTTTCATGGCTCCCAATTTTATGTTTTCTTAATGGCTTAAAAAAAAAATCTCAAGGACAAACAATGTTTATTCACAAAGTATTTCCTAAGCAGAGACCATAAGCAAAGTTTCCTTAATCTCTAACTTCTCAAGAAACGTTTTTAAAGAGAAAACAATACCAAATTGTTTTAATTAAAAGGATCAGCCTGGAATAGAGCAAAACCTAATCTCTGTAAGACAGACTTTTTCAGGTTGGGCTTGAGAAAGCTAAGGGCTCCATTCAGTAATGATTAAGTGCTGACATGAAATACAACATGAAGCCGACTCAACTCACTTGACAGCACTGCTGTAGGTCATGCTGAAGCATTTAAGAACAGCCACGATTTTGACGACCAAACTTACTGTAGCTATACTGTAAACACTGAGTTTGTTTCCCAGTTCCAGACAACTGTGGGGCTGGTTTCGAGAAGAACAGATATCCAGCTATCCTGTTAACAGTTCAGCTTCATGGGTTGAGGATGGAGCCTGAGTTGGCTGACTGACTGCCTAGCATGCAGGGAAG